GCCATGGCATTACAGCTCACAGCAACCTCCAACTCCTGGGCTCAAGCGAGTCTCCTGCCTCAGCCTCCCAAGTAGCTGGGACTACAGGCGCCTGCCGCAACGCCTGGCTATTTTTTTGGTTGCGGCCATCGTTGTTGTTTGGCAGGCCTGGGCTGGATTCGAACCTGCCACCTTAGGTATATGTGGCTGGCGCCATAGCCACTTGAGCCACAGACGCCAAGCCTTAACTAAGCTTTTAATGACTCTGTTGTGTCTACTTTTTGTTGGAAAGCATTTTTTTGTTTGTTTGTTTTTGTGTGTATGTGTGTGTGCATGTGTGTTATCCACATGTTATTTTAATCTGTTAACTGCAATCTTGGACAAGATGAGATAGTTTAACATTGGTGACCAGGGCTTGGCATATACATATACATATACATAGGCATATACATATAACCTTCCATATAGTATTGTTGGAAAGCATTTGAATATTTGATTGCAGCATGGAGGTTGGTAGTTTCTACTGATCCTCCAGATGAGTATCAGTTATTTGTGGTTTTAAAGGCATCTGGATTCGGGTCAGATCGGAGAATGTAGATTTCCAGCAGTAAGTGGTTGAAAGCAAGAAAGCATTTTCTGGGCATGTTGCCAAAGGCCTGGGTGTTCTGCTGCATTTTTTCATATTTCAATTGGATCTTTCTTAACCTTAGACAAAGACTTTAAAATGTTATCTACTGGGAGCTGAATCAGTTCCATCTGTAGTTCTTTAGGTGCCTTGGTAATATCTACTAGGTGATGCCAAAATGCTTATTTGAGTGCAATGTCATGATTCTCAAAATCAGTGAAACTTTCATTGTATTCTCTAATTAATAGGTCCTAACAGCTGAATAGTCTTCAGATGATTCAAATATATCATCCTGCTCATCAGTGATCTTTGCTAACTAGGGAAAATGTTTATCTAAAATTTCCTTTTGAAGAAGTGTTTTGAAAAAAGATACCTTTTTTAAAATGCTTGGATTTTTTGCCACATGTTATATATAGACTTACTTTTACCTTGCAAATAAATAGTCAAATTGTTCTGATTTAACATATCACCCAGAAATTCTGCATTCCTACAGAAATCTTCTTTCTTTCAATAACTCACATGGCTGATTCTGTTCCTTTTTTTTTTTTTTTTTGAGACAGAGCCTCAAGCTGTTTCCCTGGGTAGAGTGCCGTGGCATTACAGCTCACAGCAACCTCCA